TCCTCCTTCCCTCCCTCCCTCCATCCCTCCCCGAGCGCTCCGCCGGGACCGCGCCGGCAGCATGGGTAGGTGCTGCAGGGGGCAGCCCGGGGTGAGGGGCCCCGGTTTGGCCCAGAGGGTGGGATGGTGGTGGGCCCCGGCCCGGCTCGGGGGGTGGAGGGGCCGCTGGAGGGATGCCACCTCCGGGTTGGGCACGGCACCGAGGGGGGGGGTGACCTTAAGCCGCCTCTGCCACAGGTGTCCGTGCAGTGAGAGAGCTGGCAGCATGGCCGAGGGGTCCCGGGACGCCAGGGCAGGCTCTGCTGCTTGGTGCAGGTCTGAGGACATCTTTGGGTGCCTTGTGCTCCTCTGGGCCATCCCCAGCTACTGCTTCTTTATCAGCCCTCTTCCTCCAGGGCAGCTCTTCCTCTGGCCGTGCTATAGCCAAGCTTATATGAACCTGTCTTGAAACCCTAGTGAAGGCCGAGTGACGTTGCCTCAGCCTCTGCAAGGTTTTTGAGCTGAACCCCTAGCTTGTAAGGGTTCTCTTAAACTTTTAAGGCATGTGAAGTTCAAAATCTTAGTGCAAGTTAGATGGGTGTTTCTCACAGCTGTTAAATAATGATTTTTCACAAGAATGTTTACCTAGGCTTCTCTGCAAGGGTGTTTTTTAAATAATAGGAATACAACTGGAAGGTTCAGATAAGGGCAGAGCCAATTCAACTAGTTAATCCCAGAGATTCCTTCCTGTCTAAACTGGAACATGAAGCAGTAAAGGCACAAACACTGCTTTTCTGGGGTGTATCTCTCCATTGCCCTTTGCTGGGCTCTTGGTCCTGCAGTGTCTGAGCACATTGGGGTGCCTCTCCTAGCAAGCAGTTCCTGAGCTGGGGAAACCTTGTCTCACATAGGGGAGGAACCTGAGGTGCTCAAAAAGGGAGAAAGTACCGCTGCATCTTCAGCAGGCAAATCTGGGGACAGGCAACTGTAGTCATAAGCGGGTAGAGCTCAGCAGTGCTGCTGCCCAGAGGGGTACCAGGGTCTTGCTGGCTTGAGCAGCCAGCTGGGAAAATGGTGATGGCTCTGGGAAGAGAAAGAAACCTGATGCAGCTGGGTCTGCTCATGTAATATCAGGTTTGCTGTGTTACAGGTTTGCTTTTATGGTTTCAGTGTCAGTGTCTTTCTGGAAGAGCGAGATGTGAAGCAGGGACTCCTTGAGTCACTTGTCCTGATGGCAGCAGCATCCTTGTGTAGGTGCTGTAAGGCTGCTCCAAGGAGCAGTGGCAACAGGCTTGGCTGTGCCACAAGTCAGGTGGCAGGAGAGCAGGCTCATCCTGGAACCAGCAACATCCTAGGTGACAGTATGGTTGTGTACAGATTTAGTGTAGCCACAGACATGAAGTATTTCAACCAGGCAAAGTTGCTGTGATGGCTGCATGGAGCAAGGCAATGTGCTCCCATCTGGTGACAGGGACCATGAGCTGCAAGAGCTGCAGCATCCCACAGCATCTCTGTGACTGCAGGAAACCATACTGGTGGGAGCTGCTGGGGAAGCGGTCAGAGCCATAAGGCTGCCCCTCACCTTGTCTGCAAGTGTGGGAAGGAGAGTGGCCCACTGATAACTATTTAGATTCAGTGCTTAAGCCAAGAATTAAGCGGCTTCTGCTTTTACGTTGCTTAAAGATATTTGATATCTTAAGGGAATACAAAGTGCACAACTACTTAGAGCTTCAGTTTGAAAAATGTGAAGCTCTTCAGTGTGTTGTGGTGAGATGACCAGTTCTGCAGGTCATTCTTTGTGGGGAGAGAATGAGAGGTACTGAGGGTTGCCCAAAAGAGGCACTGCTCAAATGTGCCGCTAGCAAATGCCAGATTTATCATTGAATTGAGTGCAAAATGCTGGGTGCTCTGTGCTTTTGTAGGTCTAACACTGAAGCTGCCCAACAGTGGAGTTCCTCAGTCAGTTTAGGTGCCCATTTTGAAGTGCTGGCTTTAATGCCCTCAGGAGTTTCCTGACTCTTGCTGTAAAAGCAGACTAGAGGGGTAAAGTAAAAATGGTTGAGAAATAAATGTATCTCTTAAATGTTGAAATCAGTCAGTGTTGTCTGGAGAAAATGCCTCTGCAGTGTCCTCTGTGTAGGGTTTCTTGCAGAGGTGATACTTTTGCCCTCCGGAAAGGAAAAAACCCAACCAACTACAAGTTCGTTGATACTTTTTCCCAAGGAGTAGCTAACACAGGAGTGAGCTGTGCAACCTGATGTTCCGTGTACATGTTACAAAAAACTGGCAGTGTGATGCATGGTGTGCTGAAAGGCCAAGAAGCGGAAATAAGGAGTTGTTATGAAGAGTGTCTGTCGCTGGTGTCTCGGTGTCCTTCAGTATATCTGCTCACTTGGGCTGTGTAAGGGGCGTTACCAGTAACTTTAATGACTCTGATATCTGTGCCCTGGAGCTGATGTGTTAGCACTTTCTGGATGTTACTTTTTTTTCTGCAAAAATGGATTTTTGAATCACCTGTGTAATACTATTCTCTCTGGAGGCAGTTGTCCACAGCAGTGAAGGAAAGAATCAGATTAATTAATTTTAATAATTTTTGAAAGTGATTTCATTTAGTATTGTGTCAAACACTACACTGTTGCTGTCAGCTGTTTTCATCTGTTGTGAACTATGGACTAAATAATGGTCTTGGCAAACATATTTTTCTTAGAGATCTATTATGGACACACTTCATTTGCAAGCACGGATTTCAAAGTTCACATGTTGTACTTGGTCTTATCTTAATGATAATGAACACACTCATGTGGTTTTTATAGGAAATGCTGACATCCACTATGTGGGCACGGATCCTTTATCTGAAACAGTGCAAGCTCAGCCTTCAAGCCTGTCCCTTGAGCCAAGCAAGCCCTGCAGGACAGTGCTTGGAGGGCTGCTGGGGTAGTCAACCTGCTGTGAGCAGCTGGAAGTGACTTCAGGGCTGCAAGCAGCTGTCTGCTCTTGCTGATCTCAGTGGGACCCCTCCTCTGCTTCCAGGGCTTTCTAGGTTAATCTCCAGGTTATGGGAATGCCTGCTAATGCAGACCACTCCATTGGGCCATGTATGCAGGCCTCCTGAAGGCTGAGCTATGGGAAGGTTGTCCCTTTTCAGGACTTGGCATGCACCCTTGGCAGGGCATCCTGAGTTTATTCCTCACTCTTGACTTGCCTTTAAGGTAAAATCCTTGAGAATTAATTGAAACAGGATTCAGCTACTGTGGGTGGTAGGGAGGTCTACCACCACCTTGAATGATGTGTGGTGAGCAGTCATAGTAGGATGGGGTGCTCTGTCTTGTCAGTCCTTTTTGGTTTTTCCCTGGGAGTGTATGTGAGTCTACGCATAGCCTGAAAAACAAAAGGTTGTCAAGTGAAGCTTTTCCTAATAGCCTTCTTGAGCAATGAGAAGTCCCCCTTCTACAAACTGAAAATTTACTCATCCTGAACTATACTGTGTTTGTGTTTCACAATTTGTTTCGAGCTGAACTTTTCCCATGTCTTCCACTGGTTTTAAAGGAATGGTTACTTAGTAGTTTCCATTAACTTCTGGGTTTTTTTTTTCCTCCATAGCTGCAAAAGGTACAAGAAAGGGCAAGTCGGTAAGTATTGTTTTCTCTTATAAAAAGTTGCTGTACTGATTCTCTTTGGGTTATGTTGTCTGGGTAACTTTAGCAGTGCACAAAAAATCATAAACATATTTTGAAAGTATAAAATGAGTTATTGGCCAATACACGCAAAGCAGCCTGGGAGCTTATTAAATTCCAGTTAAGCATCGGTGTGCTCACCACATTGATAATAGTGCCTGAAGAGCCTTTGCTGGCTTGAGCAGACATCAGTTGGGAAGAAAAGGGTCCTTGGATCCCACCCTTCATGTAGCTGAGTTGTCATCGTCCACCAACTCCCCCTTAGGACTCTTCTACCTTTCGGTGTTAGTTCTTCCTCTTGAGTCTTTGAACTGTTAATGACAGCTGTCTCAGCAACCCTATCTCTGCCTTCGCTTTTCTTATCTCACAAGGTTTTACTCTGCAGATTTCCTTGCAGCTTTCTCGCAGCTTAGTGGCTTCCTCAGCAGCCAAAGTCAAAGCTGTGCAGCAGGGTGGTGTCAGACCTGTGCCTGGCATCCCAAGGGCAGGGCAAGGTTACGGAGACCATTATAAAACGTGACCTTCAGGTTACCTCTTCAGTGGTGGACAAAGTGCTTCCTGGGCAATGAGGATCACAACAGAAAATGTTTCAGTAAATGTCTGTGCATGCACATGTATAACACAACAGAGGTTTGAGGACAGAATAGTACAAAACAAGAACAGTATACATCATATTATCAAGGCATAGCTGAATATTCTCTTCTTGCTTGTAGTATCTTGGAAAAACAGAAGACAGTCTGTTACCTTTGGAAGGACCTTGTAGCTTTCTCCTGTGTGTCCCTGTTCATGCTCAGACACAGCTGTGACATGCAGATCTCCACCAGTTCAGGGGCAGCCAGTAAAAACCCACCAGTGACTGCTGTGCTGGCACAGGAATGCAGAATGTCCCTGCCAGGTACATAAGTGCTAGTGGCTTAAAATGGAAACCCAACCTTGGTGGAAGCTTGTTACTTCCCCAGATCACCATGTAACACCCTTTTAAACAATAAGCAGTTGGGTGGTGTGATGTAACACTGGTGAAGTTTGTGAGAACCCTGAGGTCAAAAATATTTTAGTGAGGTTTTGTGAATTTCTGGTGGCGATGGGTCCCACCAGCCCATGGGCCAGGACTGCCCTGTCCTTTTCTCTCTGTAGGCAGACCAGACATAAGGAAGGCTTTGTTCTGCTTCAGATGGGGACGTTCTCTCCTCCCCAGCTGGGTTATACCCAATTACGCTGGCAGAAACCAGTCATGCAGTGTGGGTTACTAATTTGGGGCCTAACCCAAAAACTATTGAAATCAAAATGCTTTGGCTATATCTAATGGCTACTGAGCCAAACCTTCACCATGTGGTTCTCCATCTGTCTCCTCAGGAGCATGAACATTTGCATGCCTTAGGGGATGGTGCACAGACAGGGCTGGATAGCATTCTTCTGTATGGACTCCGGTCCACCAAAAGCTGTGTCCAGGTTGGGCCCAGTTATCTAGAGCTCCTGCTATCTTCAGCTGAGGGAAACAGGCACCTTCAAGTGGATTTCATCTACTTTTGGCACACACGTGGATGGTCTTCCTTTGGAGACATCTCTCTTTGCCCACGGAGGATGTGACAGTGCGAGAGTGACAAGTTTCTATTTAGGCCTCTAATTTTGGTTGCTCTAAAGCTAGATGAGTCCCACCTGGCACTCGTCTCAGCTGAAGTTAGATTCTTTCAGTGCTTATCAAACCGCGGGTAAAGTGTGCACTGTATGCTTGGTTCAGCTGATAACAAAGATCAATGCTGTTCAGGCTGCTTGGACGTCCTCATCACTGAGTCAGGCTAAGCGATAAGCTACTCTCTTATATTCACTTCTCTTGCAGTATTCACAAAATGCCTATTGTAGCACACAAGTCTCAAAGTGTTGTGTTGTTCATTAAGGCTCTGGCCAGACGCTTTGCTGGAGACACGGGCTCTCCAATTCACTTGCGTCAGGCAGGATTTTCCCATGTAAGGCTTCTTTCCTTTTGATCTACAAAGTTAACTTTTTTTCCTGTTGTACATGGAATACAGATTGGTTTGATTCCTAAACCATCACAACATGAAGACAAACCATGCCATTTTTTTTCTCCTTGTATGTGCTTCTTAAGTTTCATAATGGTTTTACCTCTGAGGTATTCTGAGGCTTATTAAAAATCTGATTTTTGCAGCTTACAGAATTAATCCCATTTAAAAAATGTGAAAAGGCAGGATTATGTTCAACTCGTGTTCCTAGTAATTTTAATAGAAATGATACCGTGTATTCATCCTCTAAGAAAAGTAGGCGATTCCTATTCTACTCATCATGCCAGGTTTCTACTTGATGTATGCTTTTTTCCCTTTGTCTCAAAGGCAAGAGCCACGTCACAAGCTGCATGATGGCGACACTGGAATGCCTATTGCAGGAAGTGAAGGCTCAGTAAATCTGGAAGTTAATGCCACAGAATTTTAGGTTAGGAGTAAAGTCAATTCTATCAGCAAGTCTGAATAAATGAAGGATTCTTCATCAAGCAGAGTATTTGTAAGGATAGGGAGGTTTCCTGAGAGATTCGTTTGAATAAAATGTTTAAATGTGTGTTTGTCTCAACTGGAGGTATTTAAAAAGAGCCCCAGACTTCTAACTGTGGTGTGCTGTGGGGGTTTAGCGTGGTGGGATCTTTGAGTTTTGATTTTCATTTTGGTTGGGGTTTTTTCCCCAAAAAAACATTGGCTTTTTGCGTATTTTTGGATACCAATCAAGATTGCTCTAAGGATTAGATGCTGAAGATTTCAAATGTGCATAGCTCAATGCTTGAAGGTAAAATACAGCATTGCTAAAGATCTGCAATGGGCAGATGAGAAGTCTGTAGAGCTCTGAGGTCCAAGAGGAGAAAGTGAGAACTGACTCTTGGTTCAGGTGAACCAGTGTTGTTGCACAGAAGCCCATGCAGCCTCCTAACCCCTGAGTACCTACCCACTCCCACTGAGTCTGTGCTGAGCTTGCTCAATCTGTGGGTTGCAGTGAGTGATGTTAGTCTGTGTTGCACAGCTCTGAGCTCACGCTGTCTGTCTCTTGCCTCCAGCCAAGCTGCTTTGGCTACCCCTTGAGCATCTTCTTCATCGTCATCAATGAGTTCTGTGAGCGGTTCTCCTACTATGGCATGCGAGGTATGTCCCGTGTCTCCTCTTGCTGACCATTACTTACTCAGCCCTGACTTTGGTTTGTAACCCGTTGTTTTGTTCTTCCTGCAGCGGTGCTCGTTTTGTATTTCAAGTATTTCCTGCAATGGAATGACAATTTGTCTACAGCCATCTACCACACGTTTGTTGCTCTGTGCTACTTGACACCAATCCTTGGAGCACTCATTGCAGACTCTTGGCTGGGAAAGTTCAAGTGAGTGCTTCCTCAGAAAACCACCAAAAATCATGAAAGCTCACCTGAGATCAGTGTTACTTAAACCATCACCTAAAGCAGCAGCTCAGAACAACAACTTCAGAGCTAGTGTTAGCTACTTCAGGGTTGTTTGTGGGTTTTCTCTCCAAAGTCTGAGGTTTTAATTGATTTAGCTCAAATCTGAAACTGCACTGCAAGTTAACAAATGTTAAAGTTCTGCTAGTCAGTTAAGGGCAGTAGCTTGTTTTCAAAGTGTGCTGCATGTTTTTCCTCTCATCTGGACAAAATGTAAGGTAAACTAAGGAAATATTCACCAAGCTGTGAAAATAGATATTGGAGGTTATAATTACATTGGACTGCCTCTTTATCTATTGCAAGTGGCCAATGAAATAGTGAAATACCGTGTTACCTGGTATTGGAATATATTCTAAAATATTCTGCGATTTCAGTATTGACTTGACAGCTCAGTGGGAGGTTTTACAGAGTTGCAACTCTTTCTTTAAATGATGAATTCTGGATGTTTACCTGTGTGGGCTAGCTGCTCAGAAAGGCACTGCTGAACGATGTGCTTTGAAATGTAACCAATTTATTTCCAACAGCCTGATCTCACTGTCCTTTACCAATGTCGTGATTCTAACAGTGTTTACTTTGCCTGGAAAAAAAAGCACAATAAAGATTTTATGGAGGGATACGAGTCAGGAATGTTAGCCGACTTGTCAAAGGTCTCCCAGAGACTAGAGATGAAGCTGGCTGTGCAGTCAGTCAGCTGAAGGCTGCGCCATCTTCCACTGTGTTGACAGTGCTGGGTGCAACCACTGTGAAGTGTGCTTTGTGGAGCTGGTCTGATCAGTGTGAACTCGTTGAGTAACTGTATATCTTGCAGATTGCAGCCTAAATATATTATGTACTCACTTGATTAGATGGTATGACTTATTTTTTAAAATATATCTTGGATTTTACCTGTTTTATCAAGATGAAGCTTTGCAGACCTTGCACCCCTTCTCCTCTGGTACTTGTGTATACCAATGCCACAGCTGCAAGCCAGTGGCTACCGGACTCATAACAGGAGCTCAATAGGATGGTTTAGGGTTTTGGAAAAAATGGAACTTTTGACAAGAAAAAACCAGGGTTTTGGAAAAAGCATGGGTTTAATGTATAGATGCCCTAAAATACAGCAAGGTCCCATGAGGAAGGCTTAAACAATTTGGTGAAAAATCAAGAGGAAGAGGAGGTTACCCGAGCACTATTAAGCATGCTTATAAGAGAGATTTAAATCTTCCATAGTCAATGTACTTTGTGTAACGTCTTCCAAGGAGCATGCTGGGACCTGCTCACATATTGTCCGATGTGAAGTCCTTGGGGAAAATGGTACAGAAATCACAATTTTTTTTTTCAATTGGGTACCATCTATGCAGTGCTAATTGTGTAAGTGTTGTCTTCACAGCATGCTTATGAGCCTCGCAAATAAAAACCAGAAGTTTCTCTCCTCGTCAGCTCAGGTTTAACTTCAATTGGAAACTTTCTCCCAAGTTGTTAAGCAGCTAAAGTAGCTATATGGAACTGTTATTTTTTAAAAAAATTCTCATTTATCTACAAAATAACACTAAATAGATGCACCATTGCCCCTCTTTGTATACGTTTTTACCCTGCTACAGGGAAAAGCATTTTAAAGTCAGAGAAATCTTATTCTAAAGCAAGAACTTGGTCAGTGGTGTGAGTGATGCTTCCTCTGACCCTCTTGTATCAGGGTGCTCCAAGCTTGCTGTGAGGATCTCTTGGCTTTGTCAAATAGATTTGGATTGTCCCAGGTCCTTGAGCCTGGCCCTTCATTATCATGGCCTGCACTGGGTTTGGGACTGCTTCTCCTGTAAACTAGAGTTTTAAGTAATTTCACATCATTGCATCCTATTTCTCCTGCTTTTCCTCCAAACTGGAGAGCTGGGTCTGGGCCTATTGAATGGAGCCCATCTGAGGAAGCAGATGAATGTGGATTAAGCTGTAGCCATGTGCTTAAGCTCCAACAAAGTTAAAACAGGACATGTTTTCACATACAAGGAAGAGGAATGAACCCTAAAGGCATGGGGGTGGGGGTTGGTGATTCTGTAGCGTTACCTTCCAAGATAACCTTCTGGCAGAGGAAAGCCAGGACGAAAGCCTGCAGCCTGTGCTCTTCAGTGCTGCTCTTGCTCCCCTCTGTAAAGATGTTGGTACACTTAGAACTGAGATTGGGGTAATATTTGTTCATGATGGTATTTTGGGGGAGTTTCCATATTTAAAGTAGACTTTAAATTTTATTTTTTTTACTCCTTGCAGCTAAAATATAAAAGAACATGAAGAATGTTTAAACAATACTAAAATCAGTGTAAATTGTGTACTTCAGTGTTGTAGAGCAGTCAATTTGAACTTCACCATATATGAAATACGATAACAGCATTCTTGAGTTGGTTATTAAGAAGGCAATCACTGAAGATATTTAACTCCTGTGACCTGGTGATATCTTCAGGTTCCATTTGTCATCTTGCCTTGCTTAATTAAACAAGACTAGCTAAAATTATAATAACTAGAAAAAAAAAAGAAAACAGCACAAAAACAGAATAGATATATTGTGACAGAGATGTGTGGACAGATTTTTGCAGTACCTTCTGATAAGTTGAACCCACAACTTGTCATATCTATTAATTATGCTTCTTTACTAAGGATCTTTGAAAGAAGCAAAAGTCTGCATTATCTGTGTGTGTATGTATATGCGTGTAATTGTGTAAACATATCTAAAAATGTATCTCCTCTCCTTATAACAGGACCATTGTCACCTTGTCCGTTGTCTATACGTTTGGGCAGGCAGTCATGTCTGTGAGCTCCATAAATGACCTGTCAGATGACAACAGAGATGGCTCTCCTGATAATTTAGCTCTACACATGTGAGTTGCCTTGTACATGGGTGTTTTACGGGTTGATGAAGAGTGGGACAACTTATATCTTAAACTTATGCTACAAGAATTTGAATGCTGTCTTGCAATCAGTCTCATATGTATGCTTTCAGTAAGAAAGCAAAGTGATACTTTTTTCCCTTTTTTCTACTTTGTTCCAGTGCTCTGTCCATGACTGGCTTGATCCTCATTGCACTTGGTACTGGTGGGATCAAACCTTGTGTGTCAGCATTTGGTGGAGATCAGTTCGAAGATGATCAGGTAACAATGTCTTTCAGACTTTCAATCATACAGATGGTCTTACTAATGTTGGACTATTATAATACTCTAATAATACACATATTTAGACATGCACATTACTGTAGTGTTTCCTGAGTAGCTGAAGAAGGAACTGGATAACTATTTGTCTTTAACTGTGCAAACAGAGCTGCTGATTGTTCAATCTAGGCTGATCAATGTGGTTCTGGCTAAGACTTTGTAAACTTCTTTTTGTTTTTACTGTAGGAAAAACAAAGATCTAGATTTTTCTCTATCTTTTATTTGTCCATTAATGCTGGAAGTCTCATCTCTACTATAGTCACCCCAATTCTCAGAGGTAAGGCCACACATTTGTTTATAAAATAGTTAAACATCAGAAGAAGATGAGTGTTGGATTGCAGTCCAGCTATGTTTAAATGAACAGTCTGTTCTTTGACACCTTGTGGAGTTATCTGGCAAATTGTCTTCAAGTTTTCATATATGTCATCCAACTTCTCACGGGTGAGGTACTGTCAAAACCAAACCAGTCTGAGATATGAAGAGACTTTAGCATCAGAAGTACTGCTGAAGCCATCAACTTGTATGCCTAATGCATTTTTTAATTCTCTGGAGGTACAAATGTGATACCTCTTCCAATGTTTTTAAAAATATCACACAAGAAAAGAGTTGTACTGTTTGCTGGGAAGGGGGGAGAAAGCCCTCTACTCCGGAAGTGGAGACTATTCTAAAGTGTGCCCATGCAAAGTACAGAAGCATCTCTGCACATGGGAATACGTTTATCCATGTGACAAAGTGTAAATCCTGTTTTTCATATCATAAAGGAGAAAGTTATTTTCTCTTCTATTTATAACAAATACTGTGATCTTAAACAAAAAGCAAACAATTCACTGATCCATATGTGTATGGATTTTTGTGGCAAGCTTACACAGATGGCGTGTATGGATGTGCTTGGCAGGAGTTTGAGGAAGGCTGGTTTGGTGGTGTGTTGTTTTTTTGGGGGGAGGGGTTGTGTGGGGTTTTTTTTGGTTTTTTGTTTTTGTTTTTTTTTTCAAAGAAAGAAAACAGCATAAAATCGTAGAATCATTTAGGTTAGAGAAGACCTTTAAGATCATCAAGTCCAACCATTAACCTAGCACTGCCAAGTCCACCACTAAACCATGTCCCTAAGTACCACATCTACATGTCTTTTAAATACCTCCAGGGATGGTGACTGTTCCAGTGCTTGGCAACACTTTCCATGAAGAAATTCTTCCTAATGTCCAATCTAAACCTCCCCTGCCACAACTTGAGGCCATTTCCTCTTGTCCTATCACTTCTTACTTGGGAGAAGAGACCAACATCCTCCTTGCTACAACCTACTCTCAGGTAGTTGTAGAGAGCAATAAGGTCTTCTCTCAGGCTCCTCTTATGCAGGCCAAACAATCCCAGTTCCTCAGCTGCTCCTCACAAGACCTGTTCTCCAGGCCCTTCACCAGCTTCATCGCCCTTCTCTGGACATGCTCCAGCACCTCAATGTCATTCTTGGAG